GCGGGCGTGATGGATGCCGTTGGGGACACGCTGGCAGGAGGCATCCTACCCGCAGCGGCGGGGCGGCTCCCCCTGCCGGTGCGCCCGTCCAGCTGCCGGTGAACCCCGCGTGTGCCGCCGCGGGGAGGGGCTTTCGTTTGGCCGGCGGGTTTGCGACGCGCCGTGATCGGGGGCGTGGCCTGCGCGAGTGCCGTTTCCTGCGGCTGGAGGCCGCGAATGCGTGCACGGATGCTCGCGGTGCGTTTGCGCCGCTGCCAACCGGCGGGGCAAGTTGCCCTGCCGCCGACTCCCCGCGCTGACGCCAATCCCCCCGGCGCTGGTGACCATCGGCGCCTCCCCCGCGTCTCCCCCGCCCAGGGCCGGGCGCACGCCCTCACCGCAAACGACGCCCCCGCAGTAGCGCTGACGGGGCAGACGTCGGACGCACCACGGCGGGCCCTCTTTGCGGAGTGGGCGTCGGGACGCGCTGCGCACACGCGAGTGCGCGTCGCCCCGGGGTACTGTGGGCGGAGCGACCACTTTGTGCGGTGTCGCGTGCACCTCGCCCGCCGCCGCCTGTTGAGCCGCTTCGTCGTGGACGAGGCCCGCTGCGTCTCGCAGTGGGGGCATGACCTCCGCCCCGGCCACCGCAAGCTGGCCGTACTGAAGCAGCAATTCCCCGTGACGCCCGTATCAGCCCCCACAGCGACGGCGACGGAGCTGGCGCAGCAGGGCACTATCAGCACGCTGAGGCTGCAGGATGCGCTGGTCTTCAAGGGCTCCTTCAACCGCCCGAACCTTTCCTGCTCCGTGCGGAAGGTGGGGCGTTCCGTGGGTTTGGTTGCGGTGGACCTCATCAAGCACCGCCTTCCCCCGCAGTCCTGCGGCATTGTGTACCGCCTCTCGCGCAAAGGCTGCGAGAAGATGGCAGCGGAGCTGGTTGGGGCAGGGGCACGCGCCTCGTACTGCCAGGCCGAGGCGAGCCGGGAGGAACGAGAGGCAGGAGCGGTGGGCGAAGGATGAGCTGCGGGCCACATGCGCCACGATTGCCTTTGGGATGGGGATCAGCAAGCCGGATGTGGGTGTTGTCGTCCATGCGGCGATGCCGAAGCCGATTGAGGGGTACTCCCGGGAGAGCGGGCGCGCGGGGCGTGACGGACTGCCCTCTGCGTGCATTCCACTGCGCCCGCCGAGCGGAAAGCAGCGGCACGAGCAGCTGACGTACGGCAGCGAAGACCGAGAGGCCTTCATGGCCTCTCTTCATCGCACGGCGGCGCGCACCATGAGCGATGCGCACTGCCGCCGGATGCGGCAGCTTGGGTGCTTTGGGGAGGCGATGGGCGAGCATCACTGCCCGACGCAGCCTGAGGGGGCTGTGGCGGCGTGCGGCAACTGCGCGAGTAAGCGGAGCGGGCGCCGGGAGGCAGAGAAGCAGGACCTCTCTGCGGTTGTGGTGGGCTTGTTCAGCGTCGTGCCGCGCCTCGGCTCGCTCGCGCCGAAGCAGCTGATCGGTGTCCACCGCGGCATGGCGGACGCCGGCACAGTCGTTGAGCCCCGCCTGCGGCAAAAGGGCGCGCCGCCAAAGTGCAGGATGGGCGCGCGTCGCACCAAATTTTTTCTGGGGCGTGTCGTGCTTGAGGCGCTTCTTCTTGGAATTTTCAGGGAGCGGTTGGAACGCGCGACGGAGTTCGCCACCCGCGCGTGCATTGAGAGGGGCGGGGGCGCGAGGGGGCAGAGGCCTCCCGCGACGCGCGGGGCGGCCGGAGGCGCGTCGTGCTCCCGGTGCGCGGGGAGGCGGGGAGGGGCGCGCCCACCGTTGAGCGGCAACGCGGCGCGGCGGCGGCACGTTCCACGGCGAGCCCGGGGGCGGCCGCGCAACGGCGGAAACGGCGACGGGCGGCGGGCGGCGGGGGGAGTTGCGTCGGCGGGGTGCGCGCGTTCGGCGTCGGCGCCTCCGCCGCGGGCGACGGCTCCCTCGCGGACGTCGTGGCGGAGGGGTCGCCCGCCACCTCCCCGCCCTCGTGCCCCCCGCCGTGCAGGAAGCGGCGCTGCCGCGGGGAAAGCGGGGGCGGGACCGGCGGCGAGCAGCGCCACGGCGCCGCCGATTTCGGCCGAGACGCCGCGGAAGGTGGCGGCGCGGCTGCGGCAACTCGAGGCGGGGCTCCGTGTCCGGATGGGGGCGCTCGCGCGACCCTCCGCCGGGCGCTCAGAGGGGGGCGGCCGCACGGCGTCCCGCCAAGGAGACGGCGCAGGCGCTGGCGGGCCCGGCTGGGGGCTCCGTGTCGCGGCCGGGCGGCGTA